ACTACTAATATGTAGTATAATAAATAACGGGCGAAGTAGGAAATAAATATAGATACTTAACGTCGCCAGAAACAGGAGCGCCTTATACGTCGTTGCTTATTAGACTGAGGAAACTTGTGTAAGAGAAGAAGGATTCGTTTACGAGTTCTTTCGACAGGGGAAAGGACTACTGTTGAGTCGTCGTTATAGCCGCGAGTGCTCTGTGATGATAAACGAGCCTCAGGTTTTAGACAGGTTGAAATCCTTTTTTTCGTTTTTCTCTAACGGAGTTTGCAGCCTACATCTGAAAGTCGTGTTCGAGATCCCCTTACTCTCACAAACGATGGCAGTTATAATTTTGTTTAAAAAAAAACGCAGTCCTATCCTTGTATTTTATGAATAATACTAACAATCGATTCGCTACCAGAATTTACCTTTTTTTTTTTTTTTTTTTTTTGGCAAATAAACTTAAATCCAACACAGAATCCTTTTAATATGCTAGTTAGCTACCAACTAACAATTTCTGAGCAGTTTCAGTATCATTGTCTAGTGCCGATTCGATAACTTGTCAGAGGAAGAAAACCAATACGGCTTGAACGGAGGCAACTGGAAGTAGAGATTACGACGTTCATTACCGTTTCTATTTATTCACTGAAGAATCGAAACGTAGCCACGTCTTGTATTTTCGATTTTGTTAGTAGATACGTAACGGTCGCGTCACTACCAAGACCCGTATATACTAGTATATCTAGTGGAGTAATAAAGAATTATAATTCATACTTTTAAGGTTTAAAATAAATCATTATTGGAAGCTTTACATTGGGGCCGGATGCGTCGGTCTATTAGGAAAGAGGTCAAATCCTACCCGCTTATTTGACATTATCCAAACGCTAATGGCCCAAACACAACACTTCAGCTTTTGAGTTCAACGTGGGAACTTCTAAACGCAATCTAGCATATCGACCAAATGCAAGATATGGTAGATTTTTAGCTAGGTCACTTAGTGATATCCTAATGGGAATAGAACTGGTATGTTTCTTCGAAAATGTCGTATATTTCTGAAATGATTTTTCGAAATTAAATCTACCAAACAACTTTTGCGCTATGCAGTCGCCTAGTTAAGTATTTCGACGCCGTTGTGCGTATCTTTCTGTACGAATACGTCTAACGTATGCATACAAATTCACTAGTTGTAATTTATTTTTATTTTCAACGCTTTTTCTTTCTCTCTTGAATGAGAAACATTATCATAATTTTCGTTTCAAACTATCCGCTGAAATCTGTGTTGCTCTGTTAAAATGTGTATTCTCCTGCAATACATCTTGTTATTGCTTTAAGCTTCGCACGATGCTAGACCCAAAAAGCCATAAGCCATAAACTAATACGAGTCTTGTAATATTACAGAGCATCAGCATGCGTTCTTATGGGGCAGACAAAAAAACGTTAGGTTAGTTTCGTGTTCGAGCCAGATATGACCATCGTCACGGGCTGCAGACAAAGAGTAACCAGTCCACTGGGAGCTTTACCTACGGAAACAAAAACTTTATCCTGACAGACTGAGGACGCTATGGCGTGACAAAGCGCCAAATGCATTGGGAAATTAATATAGAGGGAGAGAGAGAGAGAAAATTACGTCCCATAATCTCGTTAAGATGCTGAAAATAATTAAATAGCGAATTGATATTTGCGTGCGTTAGCCATTCTAACAGGAATGAATATTACGCTGTTTTCGAAAACCGGAATGGGACACGGCCTGTATTTCTACCGAGTAGCTTGGCTCGGGTTTGTAGAAAGAGTACTCGTATTCGCACTTTGTATAGGCAACCTATAGCATATAGTCTAACCCTAGTCGAATGGCGGCGAGTTACTCTTTAGAAAGAAGGGCGACTTCGGATCAGAATATAAACGATTTAGGTTGTGTTGTGTGCGCACGTCGATAATAACGTAATCGTCAATGGACATGTTCGATGCGCCCCCTAAGTTGGTTTTCTTTTGAGTAGACTAAAGGCAATCGGTTAACGCGACTCACCCTAACCAACTTCAAGTCTAGCCATCTCTGGCTACATTATGGCATCAAACAATGGTAAACACATCAATATGCTTATGTTCGTATCGTATTCAAACGCGGTTCTCCAAAACGGAATAAAAATAATCAGATGGGTGCGACAATAGTTGTATTTTGGTGCGTATTTACGTTGCATCGACTTATTCACTCAGCTTTTTTTTGTTTTGCACGTTCTGGTGTTCGGTTTGGTTTTGTCGACCGTGTGTCATCGACACTTCGTAAGTTACTCCGCTGTCTGCCAGCTACTATCCGAACTAAAAGCATCCGCAACAGCTATGCTGATTGTAATCACAGTCGTAACAACAAATACTGGGTGACAGCGGGATCGATCGATCGAAAATCGAATTCGAAAAACCCTGCCAGCCTCTCTTCCCCTTGGATGGTCCCCATCCTATGTTGGCGCAGTCGATCATCGTTGCTGATACTGCTGCTTCCAGCATGAATCGTCCGTTGTTGAGGCCGTATGTACCTACATAAGGACAAGTATATATGCATATGTATCTCCGAAATTAACAAAACATAGCAGTCGACTCGGACGTCTATGAGAAGTTAATAATAGACATACCGCACAGACGTACCGAGGCTACAGGCCGTGATACCCAGCCGATAATAACAACGGTGCCCCCCAAACAGTCAACATGATTCGTATAAAAAGAGATAATAGTGGTTTCCATTTTATTTGAATATCGCACGAAAAGGCAGTTGTCATCTGTTAGCTAGCATGCAGTGACTCTGAGAACATTCAGATAACAGTGAAAATCACGTAGAGCGGTTACAGATCATAAGAAAAATGGCTGACAATAGCACCCAGGACACGTACACGCTGGCTAAATTACCAAATACCAAATTAAATACCCAATTACTAAATAATGATTATTTAATAATATTAGTTATAATAATTTTCTCGTTTTGGTAACGATATATTAGACCATCAGATGAACCGAAGCTTTTTTTTATACAGTTTTAAAAAGGAAAAGACCTGATTTTACACGTGATTGGGACTTATTTGACGCTTACGACATAAATGATCACACCCAGATGTAGTTTATAGAAGATTTATGTAACGATCTATAATGAAGCTTCTAAGTAGCTGCAGTTCGCCCTTGAAAGCGAAACAGATAAATAAAATACATACATTATTTAGGTCTGTGGATTTTTTGTATCCTGTAAGCCTAAGTTTTTTGCTAGAAGGCGTCAAAGCTGGAAATAAAAGAACTTTGAATTCCTTTTTTAAATAAGTTTAACTGAATTTTTTAATAGCCTTTTAGCATATATACTTTTTAAGTATATTTTTCTTAAAAATGTCACCGTGGAAAATCATCAAGTCTGATTATCATTTTGGATAATACATATGTGTTTGCGTGAATATAAATAATTCCGCATACTACATAGATGCTTTAAATGCAATACGTTGGCTTTTATTATTTTGTACAAAGTTGAACGTAACGATTATAGGTATGGCTCTTTCGAGACTATAGTAAAGAGTGGCAGATCTTACTCGCTTGTCCAACTACGAAGGATATTTCATCATGTTATTAAGTCTGATCCGCGACGATCATAGCAGACACAGACATGTTCTGTATCCTATCAGAATAAGGATTTTGCTACATTCTGCGCAAGATATACTTTGATGCCAGTTTACCCTAACAATAATGCCTGGTTCACATTCTGGCTAAACGTGTGCATGGTACAGGACACAGCTTTGTTCCGTCTCGGTAAGGCTCCGCTCTTACGTGCTACTTGTGCATGTATCGACACCGCATCATCGGTGAAAAGTGATCCATTCTGCGTTCCTAATAGGTACATTGATTATATTTTGTATAAAGCACAATTTTCGGGAAATTCTTACCTATTGCTATTCTGAATCTTCGTAATTTGAATTACATGGCTATGCACGTGAAGGCCAAATTGTACCTCCTTACAGTTCGCTAGAAATCAAATTGACCGCATACGCGATCGTTGTCCGTCATTCTTGTGTTTAAGCACAGGTGCGCTTCAGCTTTTTCCTAATAGAAAAAAAAAAGTCATATAAATTAGGTACCATGTAACACTGAATGCAGCGCTCCAAAAGAGACCTATTCACATATGACTGAGTAAGTTTTTCAACACGTGCGTTTTAGACACTTTACATGGCATCTCTATGATAAGCTGTGTAACTTTGTTCATGGCTCCGAAGTCTCTCAACACATCGTAGATTTAATGTATCGAGTGTTTTTACCAAAAAAAAAAAAAAAAAAACAATTCCTTGAAGTTTAATTTGTATGATTTCCTAATGGCTAGACGGCAATGATCTAGAACAGATTGCTTGACGGTTTTCTACCGGCCTTTTCGTGTGCTGCGTCAGCCAGATAACAATCATATTCGATCAACAGTTACGGCCGAGCGAAAGTATTGGAGTATAGCGGTAATTACGCATATTTCTGTTACTATTCGAACACAAAGGCTATATTGTTGAATTGTGTCATATTTCCTAGCTATCATAGCTAAACAGAGTCAATCACAAGAAGCAAGTCCTAACATATATCGTGTAATCTCATTGAGGATTCCTCTAACCCAGTCATGGTAGTTACAAGAAACTAAAAGAAAACATTACACATACTGTTGCGTGAAATTCTGGAAAATAAGATTATGTCTTCAAAGCACCTATTTCGTTAAGGACAAACGTTACTCCATACTTTGTGCTTATTTTGCGCCTAATTTTACACAAAATATTACGTAATAGGTGGCTGTGTCAGTTTTTTGACTGTCCTGCACCCGATCTCGCCGTCCTCTTAAATAAGGGATAAGGTCCGATCGGTTTCGTCCTCAGCTTCGAACTGTCGTGCCCTCTCCACCAGCCCTTGCCTTGAGCTTCCTTTCCCAAAAACCCCTTAGTGAACCCACGAGTTGGACAAGTACTTCAGTAGATTGCTCGCCAGCGTGCTTGCTATGTCCTGAAAGTGAGATGGTGCTTTTGTGCGGTCGGTCATTGGTAGGTTTAGAATGCCTTTGATGTTGGTGCGAAATGCGTGCGATACCGCAGAAACGGCCCAGTGTGATGTGCATGTGTGGGTACACCTGAACACAGTTTGCTAGCTTATCTGGGCTAAGACTGGTGTTTGAACCATAATACTCGAAAAAAAAAAAACGTAAACGATGACGAAAAATGAACGACAGTCGTTCACGGTTTTCCAATCGGATTCATATAGTGCGCATTGAGAATTTATCCACCGGTGCAACGGCTGTTATATTATACATACCACGTACTATGTACACTTCAAGCCACAACTAATTGGTGCTTCTTGCTATTGAAACTAGAAAGTGGGGTTTCTTTTGATATTGCTTATTCGCTTCAGGCAACACTGTCCATTTGAGGTTTCAGCCACCATCATAACTAACCCTGTCCGGGACAAATGAATCGCGGCGTGTCGCCAGAGTGTTCAGTATACAACGACGTGAGGATATGATCTGATTTGAAAAGAACGTGTTAGCGCTACCATACCAACTGATGGCACCAACGCATTCTACAGCGTTGTCTCATAACCGGAACAATATCCAACACCTTCAGCAAAGGTAGCTGTTCATAGCACAAATGCCCTTGCGCTCGCCCATTGTATCACTCAGCTCGACGACCTCGACACCATCAGCGGCACCCGAGAGGGAATTCGAGCGTGCGACCTCCTGTCTCGGTCAAGGCCGGCCGGATCATAGTAGTAATTAATGTCTTTACGGACAAAGGTGTTGTCGTCTTCTTGTACAGAGCTCGAAGATGGCGTATTTGCTCGACTTCGGTAGTGTCCTCGACGGGCCCAGTGGCGACCGCAATAACAGAGCAGTCTTGCTCTCTCCTACTGATACGACACGCCGCCCAATGCCCACTCCACGTGATAGCTGGTTAGCATCGCTAATCGTTGCGATGGGGACACTGGCGTTAGTGGGACTGTGTGTGACGCCGACGCGTGCGGCAATTGCAAACAAACCCTTGTTGGCAGGATTGGTTCGCACCCGATCGAGTAACAGCCATGGTTCGACGTACCACAAGACACAGTTGGCGGATAGCCGGCAGAGACACCACCATCATCAGCGCCATCATACCACGGTAACAGCTGCCGCCGTAAACAACGATATGATCGGTTAGTTTCGGGCCATGTAAATGAACCTGAATGAACGCACGAACGAGAGGGGACCCCCTGATTCGCATGTGGTATGGCGCCATTTTTGCCCAATCAAATTATAATATCTCATTTCTTGAGCTTCTTGTGATTCTATTATAACTGCGTGCCGAAGCTCTTTTTGTGAGCATATATATATAGCTTATTCTTAGAATCATGGCGATTGCATGGTAGCGTTCAGTTGCGTTTTGTAACTCAGGGGTAGTAGTTCTTCGGTAGTATCTAATCGTGTTATAATGGGTAGATACTTTTTTTTTTACTTATTTATTTTAACTAATGCTTCATTTCATAGATTTAAGTTCGTTCAATCTCGTTGGTGAAACTCTGTCCCACTTTTAGCTAGCCCGTTCAAACAAAGATATCTGCGAAGAACCCTATTGGCCTGTCTGTAGCTGACGCATGCGGTTAATTCGGTGGTGTTGTGATGAACGGCCACCATTTAGAAAGCTATTTTGGGCATGAATGCTATAACGAAGCTAACTGTGTTGATGGTCGTCAACAGTATCCGAATCTATGTAAGTATTTACAAGTACCTAATGTTGGGCAATGTTTCTCAGTCGCTTTTAGTCCTATTACCACTTTTTTTTATGGCAAATACGTTGGATTGATATTGAGCGAGCAGATAGGAGACATTCTTCTTAGGATAAGGAAGAGTTTTCAATTACGTTCGACATGTTCTGCCGTTACATTGGACGCGACCCGGGAAATGAGACGATCTTGTGCTCTAAAAGTCATTATTGGGAGACTAATTAATTAGAAAGAAAGGCAGCTACGACTGTACATCTGAGACGCCTATCGCTTGAATTCAACGAAGGTTGGACGCAAACGGTCAATAACTCACTTCTTCGAATCTATAACAACCGGCATCATTGGAACCATTATTTTACAGTTTACTTTTAATGGCAATCGGAAGCTCGTGTGTGGTTTGTGTAAATCTGTTGAATGCTAACGTGACCTCGGAAATAACTCGAAAGCAAGCTCGTCGTTCACAAGTAGGCCCACAAAATGGTATAAACTCTCATCTATTCTCTCATCATTCAGTTAAAACGTGTTTTTCATTACGGGAGGAGCCGTGTTCCTAACATGAAAATATTTCCAGTCTAAAAAAACACGTTTTTGCTCATTGTGCTCTTGATTACAATTAATGGCTCATTAATTTTTTCGGCTTAAGTACATAACAAACATAAGCTAATGACAAAGACGCAGTAAATATAAGTAGTCGGGTAGTAAACAGCGCTCGTTCGTTTCACACGGTTTCATAGTGGTGCGTACAACGAAATCTTCACACGTATTTGATACAGCCACTCTTCACATTTACTATGGTTGCAAAATTTCACTGTCTAGCTTATAAGATTTATTTGGAGAAGAACAAATCTTTCACCAGCTTTTTTGCCAAAAAAAATTATTCGCTTCATATTTTCGACGTCTGTGTCTAGAATAGTATTAAGGCAACACTTGTCCTTGCCCAGCTTTACTACCTACTAGGTCTGATCACATTACGAGCCTGCTCAGGCGAGACATCTCATAGGGAAGACACTCAAATGTGCGTGGTACGTACCTTAGAGTAAACCGGTTTCGAATTGGTTATGACCGAAATGCCATTGAGCCTAAAGAATTAGAACAACTGTTCGTGATCTTTCTTTATTCGCTGTTCTGTACACATATATAGCATTTACATCTAAGAGACAGATATCTTCCAATATGGCAGCCTTCTGTAGGAAGGCTGCCATATTCGAAGATCTCTGCGTCATTACATAGCTTCTTCAATTTCAATAAATGCGCCTTAAAAGAACGCTTATTTCTGAAAGAAAATTGTCGGTGGCACACATTTTCACCAATGGAAGAACATTCAATTGCTTTGAAAGCTTTCTTTTCTAATTTTACCGACCGATCAAGTTCATTGCACATTGAGTATGTCAGCCTTTACCACTTTTGAGTGTAAAAATGTCAGAGCAATCTGTATCTGAGCATAAGATTGACCAGTGTTTGCATGAGAAAAAATCTTGAAGTGGATACTGACGTATCCAGCACATTCAACTTACAGAGTTCTCGCAGATGTGTACGTCTAATCTCCGTATGCTAATTTTAGTGATTTATAATAGTAAATAATTTTTAAGGCTTTCATAACATTGTTAGACATATACGTTGTAAACGTCAAAAAAATAATAACGAGCCTTCTATGTTTTTTTCAAGTTTTCTCTTCTCATTCGATTTGCACACGTAGCCTGCTCCATCCTGTCTTAATGGAATCACTATCAAAATTTTATCCCATCTTATCTATTATAATGTCGTATCACGTAGATTTTATACCTCATTGTCACTTCATCATCAATCAGCTCGTTGATCATCTTTGACCTTTTGGCAGTGCTGCTAGATTTCGTTACTTGATTGTCTCTCCTTTACGTTTAACTCGCCAGACCACCAAATTACACTGCCGAGTTTTACGTCCGGTGTCGCTGTTAGGCATTCCATCAGACGGCTATCTCTCAGCGTGAAACGAAGTCTGTCTATGTTCAAAAGAAACCTAGACTACAATGTGTCTCTCAAATTCGCAGGCAAACAAGTTACCCGTTAAGCTATCACGGGAACTACTCTGCCTCACTTAGCGACTTCGACCTTTCTCCATGGTGGATTCGCCTAAGAGCGAAGTATTCCTCGGCGCTTTCAGTAATTCTGTTCACTTCTCGTCGCCTACTCTGGAACGTTACGCTGGATAAATATATCGTTTAGGCCTGATTATCGGATTAGATGGGCGTCCGAAGGTACTTGTTACCGGCGCTCATAGAGAACTTGTTATCCAGATTTTTTTCATCTCTCCAAACCCACACAGACCTGCTATGGAAGGTGGATGGTCAGCGCGCAGCAAATTGAAACGAGAGTTTTCGCTTCCGTTGGTCCCTTCCATACCACTATTGTTCCGGCCGCTCCAATCACTGAGATGAGCAGCGGGGTCAAATGCATTCAATTTGTTAGCTAGCTCTACGTACACCAAGTGGCCTAACAGCACACGGGCAAAGAAAGCGACGTTACCGGAAAGCCGAGAACAGTGGCCCAGTCCGCAAAAAAGGGATTACTTTATGGCGCATAGTTATCATACGGGCACAAAGAGTGTCACGCGTAGAAAGACTTGAAGCAAGCAATCGGGAAATTTTCACAAACACTATAAAAGCGTCACTCGTCATATCGTAAATTGGGCAATTTTCCATCACCGCTATCGTTTGCAGACTTGTGCTAGTACGGCTTTAACCACATTTCGATAAAGCAAGGGCAAGTAGAAACCGCGAGCAAATATCGCCGTGCAATTAGAGAAAACGATACGTAATATGTTTGCCACAAATCGTATTGGTATCTTATCTTAATAAATATTTTTCGTCATGTTTCACGTGAGGGCAACGCCACTAGGGGGCGGCAGTAATAGATGTATTCTCGTTTTCTCTGCCAAGTGCCATCCTTAATTGCGTCTACGCTATTGGGAGAAAACGCTTGAAAGGAAACATCGGAAAGCATGGGTAGAGCAATTTGTTTAGCAAAGATACTGTGCGAAGAATGTTAATCTGAAGTGTTGTCGACCGCGTACAAAATTTGCAAGCCACAATATCGGCGCGAAGAGCAAGAAGAAACGACCGCGCTGGTTGGCCGCTGAGCCGGCAGTAGGGGTCTACATCCACAAAGCTGACGTGTTGCCCCCATAGAATTTATCTACGGAGTGTTTCAAAAGATAGAGGTCAATTTCGAAACGAAGCACTTTATCTTGTGGTACCCTATAAGGCGCCGATATTTATTTTGGAGCTCATGGCTCAAATCTGTAAGATCACGACAGCCTATCGGCATTTACAACCAGATGTGATTGGGTAACAGTCACTGCTTTAATTGAGAAGGATATTGAAAATATGTACGTGGTTCAGCGGCTAAAGCCAGCGGAGTAAAATCAATAGCAGTGCTAGGTAAAAGACAATCTTAATTGTATTTATTCAATGCTTCGCGTGCTTTTTTTGAGCATAAAAAAACTATAGCGTAACAATATTTGTCATGAACCTAAAGGAGGCTTACTCGCACATTGAATGTTAGTAACACACCCATTCACGCTCGTTAGCGTAGCATCATAAGTAAGTTTGAAGTATAGTAACATCTCTTTTCGACGTAAGGTGGTATCCTGCTCTCCCGAATTCGAGACGTAAATGATTCTCGAGCACCGAATGCCGAATCAGGACTTTCGGCCTTTGTGCTGGAAACTGTGACCGCTGGGTTCGCTGCATGCCAAAACAGGGTGTGGTATGTTTTTAAAAATGCTTTTTGACAGTTATAAAAACACTCCAGCAAAACACAAATTAAAAACAAGATCTGCTAGTGATTTTACTGTGTCCGCAACGCGACACGACGGGGCAGCTCACACGAGCGCTGAAAGCATTTAGCATACTTCGAGATAAATGTCATTTTAATACTGAAATCTTAGGCGTAATGAACACCTTCTTCGCATTCTCAGATTCACTCATACTAGTTTCTTTTATTTGGCCAATTTGTCGTTTGAATAACCGTTAAGGTATATCAACTGAAGGCTAAGTTCGTCACCTAAGTGAGCATGAGCTTTATCACATCAAGGACTAACTAAAAGAACTCTACTGCAGTCAAGCGTCCTACGCAAAGGTCGCAAGTAATTTATTTGATTTAACCAATCAACTATTATAAGTTCGCACAACTTATTATATATATGTAAATACTCCTTTTCTTTTCTTTTGTTAATACGTTGGTTCATATGTTTACGATCTAAATCGCTCGAGAGTAGCGCCAAAAACATGATAATTTTCTTAGCACAAGAACTTTCTTTGCTTTGATTGATGTTAAAGTTAACTATTTAGGATTTCTACGGTTGGGAAAATCGTTTCGAGATGCTGCGTTTTACACGATAAGATTGAGGACATTAGAGTAGACCCATGCCAAGCATCACGAGTGCAATTCACACA